TGTTCATCTTAAGACCTATCCGTTGGGAGGCACTATTGAGGTCATTGAGCATAGTGGTTAGGTCCTCTAGCGATTCTGCCATAAGGAATAGAATAATTTTTATTCAATATAGATCACATGTGTAATTCTTATTGAAAGTATTTTTTTTACTTTACCACTGGTTCGAGAAAAAACCTCTGTCCTGGGAAGAACCAGCAAGAAACTCAGCGGGACTTTTTTTAAAAGCAAATTTTACATTAATGGTTATACAAACTATATAAGTACAAAATTTATTTTAGAAACAGCTTGGAAGCGACCACCTCATCCCCAGTGGTTATTATCAACCATGTATTCATTTATACTATAATAACCCTATTTATACAGTTTCATCTTAACAAAACATTTAAACTTGGCAATAGAGAGAGCCTGTACACTTTCCGGGACCTTGTTGTAATAGCGTATACATTGCCCCAAGAATGAATTATTGACTCTGTGGAGTCGAGAAACTGGTATCACCAGCTTGTGTTTGTTCCTAGTATTTACAGAATGTATATCACTTTTTTTACTAAAACTACCTTTGTTTTTGTGAACACACATTAAATTTTCGTAAATATACTGAGAGGCCAAAGTTAATATATTTATTTCTTTAAATTTATCTCTAAGAGACTCTCTCGGGTTTAGATTGTAGTAAAGCTCTAATGGCCCTCTTCTGTAAAACAAAAATAGTTTCTGAATCAGCCGCTTTCCCCATAGCAAAATCCCATAAAATATTATGCTATGTAAATAACTGAAATAAACTAATCTAGCTGTCTCGACACTAGTGAGACCTCTAATCTTTTTTACAGCATAGGCTGCAGAACTTAGTTTGTTTGCTAGTTTGGACATATGGGGACCCCATTGAAGCTTTGCGTCGAGAGTGATGCCAAAAAAAACAGTGGATTCAACAGGGCTCAGTTCTTCCCCATTTAAAAACACATTCATACTCAGATTTTTAACATTCGTTGTTGTAAATTTAATACATTTAGTTTTATTTCCGTTTAAATGTAGATTATTAACGTTAAACCAATGCACTAATTTTGATATAGCATTATTCACTTCGTCACATTTAAATGATTGACGTTTAAATTTAAAAATCAAGGAAGTATCATCAGCAAATAATACTATATCATCATTATCCCCTACAAGAGAAGGTAAGTCATTAATACACACTAGAAATAGGAATGGGCCAAGAATCGAGCCCTGAGGGACACCCCAACAGGTGACCCGGAAGAACTTTTACCATTGATAATAACTTTCTGCATTCTATTACTTAGATATGAAATAATAAGTTTAAGCGCTGTGTTCTTGACACCATAGTAATGCAGCTTCCTGATTAATGTCTCATAGTGAACGCAGTCGAAAGGCCTTGGAAAGGTCACAAAATATACCCAAAGCATCTTCTCCCATGCACAAAAAATATGTTTAATAAGCTCAACTCCAGCGTCAGTTGTCGAGCGACCCTTTGTAAAACCGAATTGATTTTTATGTAGCAATTTATTAATATTAAAGAAGCTTAACATCTGATCTAAAATTATTTTTTCAAAAATTTTACTAAATGTTGGTAGTACAGAAATTGGTCTAAAATTGGCGGAGTCTAATGTACTACCAAATTTAAATAACGGTATGACTTTACTATGTTTCATTAAATCAGAAAACACACCAGATTCGACGCTTGTATTAAATATAGTGGCTAGATAAGGTGCTATTATATCTATTATAGATAAAATTACTTTAACGGAAATCCCCCATAAGTAAGTAAGTTTTCTTAACATCAATAGTTTTCAAATATATAACGATATCTTTTGGCAGTACTCTATGGAATTTAAAAGTATTTGAACAAGCCTTTACATTTTGTTTGAGCAATGATTCGGCGACAGTAGGAGAAGAGTTTAATCATTTAGTTGTCAAAAAAGGAACATCAGTAAAATGTTTCTCAAAAGTCATAGCAACTTCTTGATCTGATGGATGGATGGATGATGATGATGGGAACAGTATTCCATGTGAGGCCGAACCTTCGCCTTGTAAAGTTGCAAGCGGTGTGCTGGCCCACTTTGCTGAGCATGCCAAGCTTTTAAGAGGTCAATTTGGCCTTCTCTTCCACGTGGCCACGAAACTGAATGTCACTCGATATGTTGACACCGAGGATTCCGATACCGGCTAAGGCAACAAGGGGAGTGCCTTGAAACTGAGGAGATACGACAAAGGGGTTCTTTTTAGCGGTAAACGCGCAAACGTGTGTCTTCTGGGGATTGAACTGGACTAGATTTAGTCACCCCCAGTCTGAGAATTTGTTCAACAAAGTCTCGACTTCAGACACAAGTTTGTTCCGGTATTCGGCGACGTTTCCCGAGCAATATTAGCACGGCTGGTGTATAAAGCATCACCAGTGCTGTCGTCTGCATAGCAATGAATGCACGCAGCCTTGTGGAACACCAGCGTTAATGGGCTTGTAATCGGAGCATGCACTGTCTATTACGACCTTGATGCTCCGATCTACAAGAAAACTGGTGATCCCATTGCACAATTTCTCGGGAAGCCCATAGGAAGGGAAAATTTATTATAGATAATGCGCCGTACCATTCCTTACAAAAGGACAAAGCCAACACCCAGCAGCAGAAAACTGTACCTTATATCTTGGCTGCAGAGCAAAAGTATTGAAGCCAATTAAAATATGTTGAAACACGAATTGGTACAGTAACAGTAGTTGTAATAGTAGGTCTATATCTAATAGACCTAATGTTATAACTCTTTAGAGATAAAAATAGATTGACTGAAACTCATTTAACGATGTAAATGACGCTTTATCTCAAGTATTACATTGGTTTACAACAAATAACATCTTGTGCTGGTTATAATTTGGAAATTCTGTTAAAAGACTATAATACTGAAATGGTGGAACCGTTTCAAGATTATAAAATTTGTATATTTATTCTAACCAAAAGTAAATAAATAAATAAATAATTTTAGTTACGCCCATGGACCCCATCATCATTAAGTCGGAAGACGTAGCTGAGGCGGTCCGAAGGGGCCCGAACTGGAATAGTCTGGGACTCGACTGACTGCATCACTACTGGCTGAAGGGGTTCATGGTTTGTCATACTGTGCTCGACGGACAGTCTCAAGAGGCTCTCGACCAGAAGTCGCTCCCGAGCCTCTTCACTACTGTGATCACTAATTTGGTTCCTAAAGATCAGATACCACAGACCCGAGCAAATACTGCCCTATCACGTGTCTACCCACCATATACAAGACAATAATATCCATTTTGAGCGCGAGAATAACTCGTCACCTGGACTCAAATCAGGTCATGTCGCGCGCTCAAAGTGGATGTCGGGGTGGTGGTCGTGGAACGAAGGAACCACTCCTAATAGATACGGTCATTGGCAAGGTGGCTAAATGCAACCGTGGGAACTTTCCGTCGCCTGGATAGACTACAGAAAGGCATTCGACTCGATGCCCCATACATGGCTGAAGAGGGTCCTCGAGCTGTATAAGGTTGACTGTACAGTTCGAGACTTCCTCGGGCAGTGGTATGGGGTAGTGGAGTGCGATCCTTTGTCGTCTAGGGGAGCAGATGACGGCTGCGGAGAAATACATAAGGATAAAAAGGGGTGTTACGGCCCCCAGCTGCCGCTGCAAAGGTCGCCTTGGCTAGGGCCCATAGTAGCCTCCTCGACGGGCAGCCGAGGGTTCGGGCCCAAATGGTCATATGGACAGTTGACTTATCATACTACACAATAGGGAGAAGGCGAGGTAAATAAATAGTACGTACCTGGATCCGAATCTAAGACCGCCCCAAGGCTCGGTCAGGCCGTAGGTAGGGTAGGTGCATGTAAAGTAGTGTTTGTTAGTGTGTAAATGTAGGTGACCTGGCCCAGCTGAGGTTTCCATGCTGCCCCACAATGCTGCATCACTCCAGCAGGCGTCACCACTGGACAATTTCTTTCTTCATGTCACTCTTTCAGTCTATCAACTTTATTGTACATTTAACTAACTTCACCTCAACTAATTCAACGTTCATCGTAGAATCAAACACGTGATACCCGCCACAAGTAACGAACAGTAGTTCAAAGTTCAACATTCAATGTTCCGGATTCATTTATCACCAAATTACAAATAGGGAACTAACGTGATCTCTTCATGAGTCACAAAGTTCAGCGTTACAAACAACAACTAAACTCCTTCGTTCGCTATTAAATACTACGCCACAATAAGATTTCAAAATCAACCTAGCTGACACGTAAACTAGTTTCAAACGAAATTACTTTTATCAGTCAAACACAATACAAGCCTCTTGTCACGAACTTAAAACTTTGACAAACTAAACCGAGGCGGTTTTCACGAAACCACAATTACGTAGCGAAGTAACGCGCACAAATTCTAAAAATCTAGACCACAACCCAAAAACCGGTCGCGCGAAACATCTGCAGCGGTCACTAAAATACGCTAATTGACTGCACCGCTGCCCTCGAGCTACTGCCTCTCGCCCACCAGCGCCAAACGCTGGGAAGATGCCTACCGCTGCCCCCTCCCCGCGACTCGCGTGACACCTAGCACCATCGGGCGATTCACTAAGTCGAACGTGATTGGTGGCGTATCAAATGCCTATATTTGGCCAAAACAAGGGGCATTTTCCAAGGCGATGTTTGAGTCCATTTTGTTTTTTTTTATTTCAAATTATTCGCCTCCAGACGCTCCCATCTTATAGAGTTGCTAAACATCACTTTTGATTTTATTTTCAGCTCCTTGGCGCAGTGGCTTAGCAATGAGTTACAGCGTTGAGGGTCGCGGGTTCGAATCCTATACGGAACAAGACTTTTTATGACCTTCAAGTCTTTGTTCGTGGTATGGATGTTTGTCTTTGTGCATTTATTGTATGTAAACTGCCTTCACGATACGGGAAGAAACCCTAGAGAGGGGGTAACTTTTTTTTAAATATGGATATATGGGGTAGTGGAAACATGAATGAGAACCAAACTTACAAAGCTCTTCACGATCCAACGGCCGGGCACCACCACCGAACAGCCCTTTAAAGAAGCTCTCTTTCGGTGGTTCAGGCATATCCCGCGGGAGAAACAGCTCTCCCAGCATCTCATTAAGCTGCTGACTGAAAGGAAATAATAGACATTAAATTTTATTTCACGTTAGTACAAAGATATTTAAATATATATAGGTATACTAACTTAAATATCTTTGCGTTAGTAGGATTACTGTCACATAAACAATATGCTGTACAAATACTTAATTCCAAAAGCAGCGACAGAGAAACGGAGATCATTATATATATTTGAAGATAATAATAGATCATAAATTAAAAGATATAATAAATAAAAGATAATAAATTAGAAAGAAGAAATAATAGATAATAAATTAAAAGATAGATAATAAATTAAAAGCAATCTAGTTTCGGAGTCGGTTAGTTAACTCTTCTGACACACGAATGCAAATACTTTACTTTGTTTCTAAGTGTATATAAATTTAACTGCCTCTTGGTCTAGGGCTCGTCAACTAAAGGTCGTCGGGTTCAAATCAGTTATTGGATTTTTCTCAGTAGCCGGAGTCAGAAAGTTGGCGGTGTCTCAACCACGTACCTCGGAAAGCACATAAAGCCGTTGGTCCTGAACCTGACCTCTCTCCGGCATTACCGTCCCATCGGACTGTGAGAGTCAGGAAATATATAGTATACCTTTATTACGTGGTAGAGCCATGCTGCAGCTATATTAGTAGTATAGTTGTAGCAGGAATGGGTCGCCTCGACCGGGGAAGGACCACGCTCTCACAGAATACCAGCGTAAAATAGCAGCTTAACACTGCTGTGTTTCGTATGGTGAGTGTAGAGAACCGGAGACCCTTTTTACTGGAAATGGGGCATTCCATCGTAGTCCTCACGGGTGACAACGTATCTGCATTTTGATTTGTAATAGAGGATAGATGTAAATGTCTATGGGTCGCAGCAACCACTTACCATCAGGTGGACTGTGTGCTCGTTTGCCACCTATATCCTATAAAAAAATACATGTGCTTGCGCATACACTCGGGCACTATAATCCTGTCCTCCGAGCAGACTGGCCGCGATTGTTATTATTATATATAAATTTTTATAACGCTAAGACATCCTTTTAAGTAAAATATATTTGTACCAGGAGGTCCCGCTCTTCCCTATTTTACAGAGGTAACAAAACATAGGTACTAATTAGTCTATTTAATAATAAATTGCTTTAGATAACAATAGCAGACATAATTTCTCATATTGATTGAAAGAGAAATGTATGCTACTTCTAATCTAATTGCAGCGACATCGTAATGAAAATATGCTACGCTGCAACTATATTATTTTTGTAGCACGAATGGGTCGGCTCGACTGGGAAAAGACCACCATTACTAAGAATAACAGCGTAAAATAAAAGTTTAATGCTGGGTATTCGTATATTGTATTTCGTATGGTGAGTGTAGAGAACCACAGAACCTTTATACTGGAAACGAGGGATCCATCTTAGTCCTCAGGGGTGACAACTTATCTGCATTTTGCTTCTCAATTGAAGATAAATGTAGATCTGTATGGATCACAGCATTCACTCACCAACAGGTGAACCCTGTCCTCGTTTTTCATTCTTATTCTATTTAAACAAAAAACAACACCTTAAAATTATTTATTCATTAGAGCCCACCAAACATCCACTTTTGTGAATATTTGACACAGTTGTGACGCTTGGCAGAAGGATTATTAGGATGTCGTTGTTGTTCATTACTTGGTTTGTTTCTATCTGTCGCCTTATGATTATTATTTCTATCTGTACCCATGAGACACAGGTTACCTTAAATACCGTAAAATAGAGGTGGCAAATAATCTTTAATACTTACCAGAATTCAGCGTCGATTGTAAACTTCTGTATCTCAGTGGGCGAGGCGAGGTACAGCCCGTGCCCGCGGTTGCTGAAGCAGAATGTCTTCGCTATCCTGCAACGTCCCAGAAAAGCGATGAAGCCAATGTTTTCAGACATTGTATATAAGCTATTTACTTTCAATTACATTTTTTATTTATATAAATCTAACTGTATAAAAACCATAACTTCTTTTGGGTTTTGATTGACCCAAAATATTTTTTTATAAAAGTCAAACTTTAACTGAATTGTTACAAGTGATGAGGTATAGCATTTAATAATTTTTGTACCTCAGTTTTTTAAGTGCATGTAAGTGGAGCGTAGACAAATATGATGGAAATGCTCTTTTGATTAGCAATCTTTGAAATATGCAAAATCATTCAAATGTTAATGAAGAATTAGAAATGTTAAACATACATCTTTCTTTTGTAGATGATGAGTTTATCGTCAATGAACATCGAAAATTCTCACCTTGTATCCAGGTCCTTTAGTATGACACCTATTTGATTTAAAAACTAAAAAAGCAAAGCGTCTTGGACTGTATGGTAATGAAAACATAATTTTTCTAAATATTCATGCATTTTCAATTAAAAAAAAATTATAGTAATTAGACTATTACAATGGTAGTTGAAAAAAGTAACCTTAAAAGAACATATCAGCGAGAAAATGAATTCGAAGCACGGAAGAGTAGTGTAAGTGTGACAGAGTGTTTTGTCGAGGACATTGTGACGGAGTATAGTGTGCTAGGTACACTGTTTGGTTAGGTTCTTTAATATTAAAAGCGTATTGCAAGCAGGGTCATACTGATGGAGGTCGGTGCGAATCATTGCAGCAATATCAAAGACAATAATTTTATTTTTCTTTATAATAATGATTTCTTATATTTCCGCGAACACTACACATTGAATAAAACTATTTTTACGGATTTTATCGCGTTTAATTTACTTATTTCAATTCCCGAGGTTTCGGGTGCTTTACAGTACCCATGGTCCCCTTTAATAATAATTACGTCTTGATTTGCGAATGGTGCACTGGATTTTAAACATGGTGTGATTTTAAATGTGTCTGCAATGACGCGCTCAGACCTTAGAAAGTGTTTTTGAACGCAACAAGGTTGGGGAAGCTGTCGGGTTACATGAACAACTAACAGTTCTAACAAAGGAGCGCAAGAGGCCGCGGTGGCGACTTCACAGGACAGTGTAACGGCAGGTACATGACTAACGCAACGCGGCCGCTATGGGCGTCACTTACTGGTCTGTGTCCTCGTTAACAATGAGTTGCTGGCCCCAAATGGAGAGCATTGGGTCTACGATACCCCTCTGTTTGGACTGTGTCTGGAAACTACCAGGAACACAGGCACCAAGTCAGTATAACTGTCGCTGCGCCGGCTGCCTCCGCCGCGGTGAAGCGACTGAGGCAACGAGCGTAACGACTTTCATCGATCATTATTTATGTAATACAGATTTGATACAGATGTCATAGATACGTATTATTAACTATTTTGATGATTCAAAGGACACATTTGATCGATCAAATGGTTACTGATAGGACATGTGCGTAATAGTAACAGTAACAGTAACGTAAGGTCAGCACCAAATAGCGTGTACAGATAGTGAAACGGTGTTGTTTTATTAGGCATTATTTTTTGATGTGTTCGAGTCATGTTTGGAGTCCGTTTAGTTTTTAACTTATAAATAAATAAAAGCACAGGTGGTGCTCAATAGATTGGCAGAATTGAGACTACGTTGTGATAGAAATAGTACGACGGTAGCTCGGTGCTGTTGTCTTTCCAGTAAAAGAAAACACCGTTTGTTTTTTTGGTGCAAATATCAATTCGTGCTTTATGGTTAATATTTTTAATAGAAGGTTAAAGGCGTTAATGACTGGAACCACACCGAAGTCATCTTGCTTTAAGCCACGTTTCACTTGTTTATGGTATATAAACGTAGGAGTCAATGGTATTTATAATCTGTAACAATCTTTAAAAAAACAGCATTGTAAATCAAATGAAATCGGAACCAATCTCAAATTTAGGTGTTTGGATTTATTAACAGAATCTTTTAAATAGCGTTCGTAAATTGATTTTATCGGTAATGATGCAATAGATGACTTTGATGAAGTTACAAATCGGATGTTACTTCGCACCAAACAAAACATGTTTCTAACATCGATTGTAAGTCAAAGAAAATCTGTTTCTAGGCTCCTAAAGGATAAAACAGCACATGGTTAATAAACGGGTTAATCAGCAGATGACTGATGAATGAATAGATTTTATTAAATGAATAATTATCTGCGTATACTTCAAGCATACAAATATTTGAAGCTATTTTAGATATAAAAAAGCCCTTTATCATTTAGTGCCTTAATTGAGTGCATGGAAATCATCTAAAAGTGACTCGTGTTCACCGAGCAGTCTAACGTGGGACTCGACACCAATTGCACATCCACTTTCGTTAAATCGGACTCTGAGTCCATTGTTTTGGGCAACGCTTATACTTCCATGGAAACCACGTGTGGATTTTCTATCAAAATATCGTTTGTAATCTGGCGCGCAAATGTTACGAACATATAATTTAAGTAGTAATGAAAGACCTATATAAAAAGTTATCTTATGTAACGTAAGTGAAAGAGTTAAAACATAAAGCATGGCTGTACTAATATCTATGAAGCGTAGGCGAAGTTAGATAAATCTAAAATTTCTAGGTGAAGCGCTTTCACCATCTTTGCCAGATAATCAACGATATTTTGAAGATGCACAAAAGTCAAGGTTCATTAAATGTATTCATACAAAATGTAAAAACGACAAAAAGTGATGCAGGATCTTAAAAGAGTCGTAAGCAAAGTGAACCTTGTATATTTCACATAACAAGAAAAAATTAAACGTACTTTTTTTTAATTTTGTCTATAATGTGGACTGAAAATATATTAGGATATATAAAAATTCGGTTTCCATAGAAGAATTGAATAAAAATATATTTAATGTCTGAAGATCGCAGAGGGTTACCTGAGTTCGGTGAGTGGTAAGAAGTCCACGTCTACAAGCGGTCGAAGAGAGGGCAGGCTGTACGCCACCAGGTGTCCCGTTGAAAGGTAATTCACTAAGCAGACGCTATCTGGAATGGTTTATAAGATGGACTTAAGTCATCGCTATTAAATTCAAAACATCTTTAAATACATAAAAATAAACTAATTTTCACGGATTTTGTCGGTTTTCATTTATAACTGCTTATTTGGAAGTGGGTCCGTTTTCGAAAGTCCAAACATATACATGAGGCTTATAAGATATTTCTTTTTAAAGAATAAGTATATCCAACGAGCACATTATCCACCTGAAGGTAAATGGATGCTGTGTCCCATAGACATCCACATTTATCTTCGATTAAGAATCAAAATGCTCGTTCTCACCCACGAGACTAAGTTGGAATTCCTCGTTTCTAGTAAAAATGGTCTACGGTTCTCTACACTCACCACACGAAACACAGCAGCGTTAAGATGCTATATTACGCCGGTATTGTGGGAGCGTCATCCTATCCTGGTGAAGCCGACCCATTCGTGCTACAACCACAATGTAGCTGCAGCCTGGATATACCATGTACAATAATAAGACCGTTTCTAAATCAAACAGTTTTTACACAGCGTAGTGCTTCAACGCGTTGTCACCCCTAAGGATTAAGATGGTATACCTTATAGCCTTTAGTTGTAACAGAATGTAGTAGTATTGTGTCCTAGAAAACGGAACACAAACTGCACTGCTGCGGTAGGCTCGTAAATATTCAAGGGGGTAACCTAACCTAACTAGATGAATATTGAATATCTAGGCAGTAAGGGGGCTCTCAGTAGTTTATTCATAGGGCAATGTGTATGATATTACAACAAAGTCCCAGAAAATATACAAGGTCTCTATTACCAAGTTTAAATATTTTATCAAACAAAAACTGTATAAAAAGGATTAGGAAAAAGGTAAGAATACCCACAACCTTATATCTTCCCGTGGGTGCCGTAAGAGGCGACCAAGGAGCAAATACAAAGAGGAGACGGCCTAAGCAACGGTGCACTTTGATTACTATTATTTATTCTGTGACTGTGATTCTAACTAGGTCCTGACGTCATCACAGTGGGCGTGGCTTTAGTAGTTAGTATATTGTCAGCGTTCGTCCTGTGCGATTATGTGTCGAAAATTGCAAATCGGTGTATTTTTGTAATAGTACTAAGAAGAAAAGCGTGTTGTGTTTTATCGTGTAAATGTTAGATGAATAGGTTGGAGCTAAGTTTTGCAAGACCCGTCGCAGAAGAACACAAAAACTCTCCGATTACACTCTTAATCTCTTGACTGTTAGACGGTATATGAAACTGCAGTCTTCAGTAGATTTGACAGCATACAGGCAACTGAACAGACAGATATATGTTATGATATTGAAGAACGAGATATGTCTGCCAGAAAGAGACAACTGTCGAAGCTGAAGAACGAATGTGACAGCATCGTTTCCGGGGCACCTGAGATTTTTAGCGAGATTGAGAGGTTCTATGGCCAGCTGTACATACCGTCGTTGGAGCCACACGCAAGTGTGTGTAACGATCCAAGAAAAAGTCTTATCCGCAACTATTGTAATGATATCTCGGACCAGTCTGAGTGAGATTAAATTGGCTCTCCAGCACCTTAAAAACGGTAAGTCCCAAGGCGAGAAAGAAATTACAGCGGAGCTTCCAAAAGCGGGTGGAAAACCGGTACTTAAAGTCATTCAGAAGCTGTTTAATTCCGTCCTCCATGGGGGCACCACTCCGGAGGCTTGGAGCAGAGGTGCGGTGGTCTTGTTCTTCAAAAAAGGCGATAACATTCTCTTGAAGAAAAACAGACCGATTTCCCTTCTGAGCCGCGGCTACGTGCTGTTTTTGAGAGTCATTACGAATCGTGTCGCACACAGACTCGATGACTTCCAGCCTCCCGAACAAGCTGGTTTCCGAAAAGGCTTTGGCAGACCACATACATCGAAGGGTAACACACAATTTGCCGAAGGGTAAGACCACATACATACCCTTCGGCAAATTGTACAGAAGACCGAATAGTACAATCTGCCACGTTGTCTTACGTATGTGGGCTATGAGCAAGCCTTTGATTTCGTCGAAATTTGGGCGGTGCTGCAATCCCTTCAGCGGTGCCAAGTTGATTGTCGATATATCAAAGTGCTAAAGTGTTTGTACAGTATTGCTACGATGGCTATCCGAGTACAGAACCAGATTACCAAACTATCCAACTGCAGAGAGGCGTAAGATAGGGTGATGTAATATCTCCGAAACGAAGATGAAGACGTTTATAAGCTACTAGACTGGAAAGGATATGGTATTAACGTCAATGGCGAGAATATCACTCACCTTCGATATGCCGCCGATGTAGTCCTTATGGCAGAATCGCTGGAGGACCTAAGCATTATGCTCAATGACTTGACGGACTCAACTCGGCTGAGCAGCGTTCGGGAGATTATGACACATGAACAAGAACTGACGACCGATGGGGAAGAAAGGTTCCCGAGTGGCAGCCTCGTACCGGCAGGCAAAGTGTAGGACGACTCCCCACTAAATGGAGTGACGACCTGGTACCATATGAAGGTAGTCAATGGATGCAGGTGTCTCGACACAGTGTTTTGTGGCATTCCTTGGGGGAGGCCTATGTTCAGCAGTGGACTTGTGGATGCTGTAATGATGATGATGAGTTGATCCATCCTTGGGAATGAGGTGGTCACTTTAAAGCTATTTCTTAAATATGTTTTGTAATTAATTTGTACAATCTGTATTTAATTGCAAAATTATCTTTGGAAAAAAGTCACGCCTGATTTCTTGCTGGTTTGCTTTTAGGTTTTTTCCAAACGAGGGGTTAAAGTAAAAAAAAAATGACTTTTAATAAGAATTACTTACGATCTATATTAAATAAAAAATATTCTAACACCTAAAATTCTCAGTTCACTCAGTTTACCTTTGAGACTGACAGTCTCAGATTTGACCACGAAGTCAGTGTCGACGATTTGCTGGCGGTAGACGCAGTTCTGGCTGGGCAGCGCCACGACTCGCGCCTGCTTCTCGGAGGCCAGCACCACGAACTGGCGGTCGCCGTCCGCCGCGGGCACGGGGCTGGTACGGCTGCCCGAGCCCTGCTTGGTGGGAGTGCGTTCCCGCTTCTCCCTCCCCTCCCGCCCCTCCCGACCCTATGTATGCACAATAATTTTAAGGTTCTACCATACCGATGTATTATAACTGTATACAGGCGAGTGTACATTGTCGTTAGTCCCCCTTCCCGCAGCATATCGTTTTTTCACGCTGCTTGTGTACACCCGTATGACTAACCCTACTTCAATGCGTTTTGGTGCACTTAACATAGCTTCGGAATATCTTTAATCTCTCAAACGTAGGTTTAGGACAGGTTACGATCTCCGTTTGCTCAAAATTTCTAAAATTGAGCTGTTTGCTCATAAACAATCCAAAGTTTAGAAGGTATCCTTATTGCCAGCCATTTCAATACGTTTGTCACACTGTTATATCGTTACGGAACGATAGCGATAGCGAAATAATATCGTAAACCATGCTTTTGACGTTATTCTGGCCTTACAGTGCCTTCTGACGTGATTTCGCTACCTCAGCAATACCCTGTCTTTATTTTATAATTGGTTATAAAAATACAAAAGTAAAAAATTTACATAACAACTTAATTTAAAAGAACCTTTTTATAATATTCATTGTAAATTATATTATTTGATAATCAATAAATTATTACCTCTTTACTGTCATCCTTCCAACTTTCATATGAATAGGGGATTAAAGCACCATTACAATCCAAGAAAGACATCGTTAATATTGAACCCTTAAGCCTTAAGATAGGTCCACCTGGAAAGTTAAGTATAGGTATTTATTAAGTACAACTGATGTGTGACTTTTAATACACTTGTGTCACTTTTAATACTAAAAAAATATTTTTAATACAGTTGCTCAAAAAGTAGCGTATTGCAGGGACGTATAGCGTTCGGGATCTGGGCTAGCTTGCTACATATATATTTATCTATAATCTGGGCTATTACATACTCGAGCTTTTTCTTTACCCTTTTCCGAACTCGTGCGTTCTCTTTCCCAACTGTCAAAATAATGTCTATTAAAAAGAAAAAACCAACCACGAAGTTTTTACTAAAAAAAATTCATAGAAAATTTTATGATTCATGCAAATATTTCTAGAAAGAAGCTACTAATTTGTTTCAATATCAGATTTAATGATTTGGTTCAATGAGTTAGGTTAGGTTTCATTTCATTTCCTCTCATTAAATTTCATTTTCATTTCATATCAATAACAAAATTCTACTGGAGACTTGGCTGTATGGGCATAGTTCCCTTTGCCTACCCAGAATAGGAGAAGAAAACAAAAAAATCTTTGCTTATATTCTTTTACGGTTGGAGCCATTTTCCAAAAATGTTCTTTGCGAGTTTAGTTGTTTGTTGCACAAAATGAGTAATTTCGACGATATTTTATTTGAATTAACACCACCGGAACTCAGTATAATTGCACAAAATGCTTCGGAGAATATTTTACCGGAAAAGTCAAAAAGTCGCTACATATCTACATACATTGAGTTATATTATGTACTACGTACTAGAGAAGCAATTCCAAACAAAAATTGTGTCCTACTCTATGTCTTCGCACATACGCGGGAGTAGTAGTCGCGCATGCGCGAAGACTTTAATATAAGATATTAATATAAAATATCTTAATTTAATTTAAACAAACATATTTCTACATAAAATGTAATAATAATTATTTTATGGAATTCACAAATCTTCAATTTACGCAATATTTAGTTTGTACGGATTGCAGTACAGTTCAGTTGAATATAGTCAATGTTCGGGATGGCTTCTCTAGTACGTAGTACATACTCATATAACTCAATGTCTACATACGACGAATTTATTGCGTGGAGAGAAGAGAAAAAAGCAAATAGTTTTTCAGAAAATGTTATGTTGGCATATTTCTCAAAACTCTCAGCAAAATTAAAACCATCTACGTTAAGGAACAACGTGGATATAAGTGAATACCAAAAACTAAAAGCTTTCTTAAAACGACAATCAGACGGTTTTACAACTAAAAAGTCGAAAATGTTAACATCGAATGAAGTGGAAAGGTTTTTGAACGAAGCTCCCGATGATCGTTATTTAGCCACAAAAGTAATTTATTAATAAATACTTATATTTTTCTTTCGTATTCAGTTTACGAAATCGCAAAATACAGTCAATATATTATTTAAAAAAATATTAATCAAATCCCTTTTTTTGTAGGTTGCGCTGATTTTTGGCGTTGTTGGACCTTGCCGCAGAGAGGAGTTAGCCAATATTATTTTAAAAGATATTGAAGCCCATGGAAAAATGCTACTAATCAAGATTCCGAATATAAAAAATAAGATACCGAGAAGGTTTCTTGTTGAAGGAGATTTTCTTAGAATAGTGCAAAAATATATGAATCAGCGGTCCCAAAAAGCAAAAACCGACCGTTTTTTCCAAAATTGTCAAAAAGGGAAGTGTAGAGCTCAAGCAATCGGGATAAACAAATTTGGTAATATGCCAAAAGAAATATCTACGTTTCTTGGTCTGCCGGATGCTGAGTATTATACTGGGTACAGCTTCAGGAGGACTTCTGCTACATTATTGGCAGATTCAGGAGCCAATTTGACGTCCTTAAAGCGACTAGGAGGTTGGGAGTCAGACAAAGTTGCAGAAGGCTATATTGCTGATTCATTAAATAACAAACTAGAAACTGGGAAAAAAAATCACACAATCCATTAATTTAAAGTCCAGTCCGTCTCCTTCACATGACAATACTGAAGAGAACGTTCGTTCATTTACCTTCGTTGATAATGATAATTCATCAGATCCACTTCCATCAATTAGCAAAAGCCATTGTATAACACCTTTGAAAAATATACATGAACAATCATACGAAATTAATAATAGTTTGTCTCAAACAGTAAATATGCAACCTAAAACTTCCCCAGTTAGTATAAAAAACTGTACCAATTTCAATGTATATGTGAATTATAACTTTTATAAGAAATAAATGATTAGTTAGTTGAGTTTATTGTCTTTATTATTTTATTAAATTGCATAATTTTTTCGCAACTGTATTAAAAATAATTGTTCAGTACACGTGCGGAACCGTCATTGCAACTTGTTCCGACTGTTAACCCTCACCTTCGGCTGCGCCTCGGCTCGGGTAGACATTTGTCGGAACTCTTTGCAATGACAGGCTTTCCGCACTCTTAATGAAATATACTATTCATGGTTTTTTATTTTACTATGTGCGGTAATTTAAAGTTTTTATTTTGCTGTTTGAGTCGTTTGGTATTTCGGAGTCAATTTGAATGGAATGGAAGTGCAGTATATTTTAAGCACATTTTATACATTTTACACTCAAGAGAATGATAAATTATTAAAATTTTACATTGTTCTTAAAATTTAATAAAAATAATTAAAATTAGGGTGAGGCCACCGCAAGGGCTTATTCTTGGCCCTTTTTAGTTTAATTTATTCCTTTTGCAATATTTTAAGATACCATGGTTTAGATATTTTTGACAGTGTCATAACATACATATTAAATCGTATTCTGAATTTAACATATGTAAGTAAATATTTAAAAAATACAATTATCTTTTTTCAAGGCCGCTTTAGTAGGCAATGTCGTTGACTGAAGTAAATGCTTGAATTTATTTAAAATTAAATAATGAGCTCGTAATTGATAAAACTTACCGCTTGTGGTAATAACTACAGGTTGTGTGTGTCTGAGATCAGCTTCAGGAAGGTTGATCATCATTGTTAAGACTGAGCCCAATGTTGTGCCGATCCACAGAGTTGGCAATAAGCTCGTGGGGTCTAGAAATAATATGCAAAAATAATAATAAAGAAATACGATAGTATAACAAGATTAAAGAATCGTTTAATTATTCTCAAGTTTTGCAATATCCATTCAATGACCATATGTCCTTGAATTAAGTTTATAAATACGATATCACAACAGTTTTTGGCTCCTTTTACTACCTTAGTTTTGAATAAATGTTTACGGATTTTATTGCGCTTAATTTCCTATTTTAATTCCCGACGTTTCCGGATTCATCTCAATCCCCCCTCGTGACCATGGGCCGCTGCAAAGCATCCGAAACGTCGGGAATTAAAACAGGAAATTAAATGCGATAAAATCCGTAAACAAAGTTTTATTCAATTCGCGTACATATGAGAAATCATTACCTTAGTTGTACTAGATAAGAGAGTTTCTGATTTGCATAAGTACCATTTTTGGCTATCTATCAACCCTCTTACTTATTTCCGGCGCAACGCAGAGCTGTGTAGTATATGAGAAGCCATGAGACATGACATTTTAGGTCTCAAAGGTGATAACGCAATTCTAGCCTTATTTGTCTGAAATTGGTTGCAGCTTTGTTCGAGTTGCAGTAGCCAATAGGATATTTTGCACCTTGTAAAAAATAAATATAATTTTTTTTTAGATTTATTTTATTATAGATTAGAGAAATGTTCATTTCTAATCATAAAAATGCATTATAAAAATAAAAATCAATTTTATAATTTTATAAGAATATATTATTTTAATCTATGCCTCAAATCTCCATAACGCTGTACACCGTATTTGATTCCGTCGCGACGTCAATTTTATAGTAAACAAGCTAATGTGCTGTGCTTTATTATAAAAAATTTCAAATTGTCATCACGTTTGTTGACATTTATTCCGTATTATTATTGAAATGGTATCATGGAAGATGGATTCATAAAAGCAGAAAGTATTAATCTACCAAGGTATAGTATACATTGATAGTGGAAAAAGTTTTTGCATGCAATCCCGATTTTTGTTTTACCGAGTTTTTTTCGAGAACTTTTGTTTATATAATAACACAATACCAGGTCAGATTGTCTTTTGATAATACATAGTTATGTTTATCTATGATTACAATAATTAGGATCATTAGTTATACCTAAGATAACCAAATCTATTAAAAATTCGACTTGCAATACCTATCACCTCATGATGTTTTATTTTGTATAAACAGTAATTAAATATAAGTCATACTTACATCAAAGTGACCTTCAGAGAAGTACAGTCTAGTTTTTATAGACAATGTTTTCGGGTCTCTTCTTGTGAGTTTTAACCAAGTATTTCTCATATTAAATCAGTTAGCACTTGGCGTTCTTATGCTCGCATTTTTGCATTCAGACACAATAACCAATGATTAAGATGATAACACATTATTAAACATCCAAAAATATCTTATTCTTTTACAAAATCGTTTTATTTACTAGAAAAGTGACGTCAGGAGCTTAACAGAATAGCGGCTAGAGTTTTCGTGCGAAAATTTAAAACGATAAATTAAAAGTAATTTTTATGATACTATTCGGTTTAAAAAATTATATACAAATATAGTGGTGCATTATCACTCTAGAATTCACTTAAAACACTATTTGAAAATGGATGTAATATTACCATTTGGTACATAGTAAGATAATAATAAATATTAATATTATAGTATAAATTAATATTGTTAATTATCTTTTTCAATATACAGGATTATTTTCCAATATACGGCCAAATTTGCAGAGAAGCTTCAGAATAAGTTTTTTTTAATAGGATAGGGTGACAAATGAAACACAATCCACCTGTTGGTAAGTGGTTGCTGTGGCCCATAGACATTTCCATCTATCCTCTAGGAGAGGACTAAGATGGAATGCCTATTTTCCAGTAAAAGGGTCTCCGGTTTTCTACACTCAATATACGAAACACAACAGTGTTAAGCTGCTATTTTACGCTGGTATTATGTGAGAGCGTGGTCCTTCCCCTGTCGAGCTGACCCATTCGTGCTACAACTATACTACTGATATAGCTGGAGCATGGCTCTACCGCGTACAACTCACGTACTACACGTCTAACTCGACTCCACCAAGTCATATCTCATTATTGGGGCGATGCATACGCTTTTATAATAAAATCTCAGAAAATATACAAAATTTGACCTGCACAAAGTTCAATTTTTAAAAAAAATAAGTTTATATAAAAAGGGTTATTATATATTAAGGAATTTATGGATGATAATAACCCCTAAAAACCCCTAAATTTCTAATTTGTTTTGTGTTGTTAATTGTACATGATTGTAATTTGTATTTTTTTTTTAAAGTATCGCTCGGTTTCTTGTTGGTTCTTTCCAGGACAGAGGGTTTCTCCGAACCAGTTACCAATTAAACAATAGAGTAGCTTTCAATAAATATTTTTGTAATCTGTATTGAATAAAAAGTTTTTGTTTCTGTTTCTGTAATATAGGAGATTAGTGAAGAAATATAAATTTAAAAAATCTCAAACATTCTGTTCTTTCTATCTTTTAAATTCAGAATGAGTGGTTATGTATTCTTAAACTGATTGTCATTCGTAAATATCTAACTTTTACTATTTTATTACGTACGTTTCATTCATAAGGGTCGCTCGGTTTAAAAAATTTTGGTAACTTGTTGTCTTCCCGGGGAAGGAAAGGCCCTTTGGACAACCATTATACCGCTAGTATCTATGTCCGCTGGGCCGGCCAACAGCTAATAGTGTTGACCGTGACCTCATTACGTGCAAGTTTTGAGTTAGACATTTTCGTAAGTAGTCGTAGTTGTGTCGCATCGTTACCAATGACGGCACGAAAATATTGGAACCGCAGATACTATGAAAATATGAAGTGAGGCAAAGATATACGAAAGTGAGTATTTATCGCGTTAAGAAATTAACGCACGTGTACATACCAATAGAAGAACAATTGACAGCTAATCAAACTATTCAAGTGCAGTGAGCGATAATTTAAATAGTGAATATGAAGATAAGTGGATTGCATAGGGAGGCCCTATACTCCTGCAAACTCGCCGAAACTTTCACCGTTAAACTTTTATCTGAGGGGTGAAATAAAAAGTCACGCTTACCTCAAATAGGCCCAAAGTTATGAAGACCGCCACAGTAAAATATATAATAAGGTATAAGTGTAATAGGTGTAAAAAATTATTTAAGAGAACGTGCTCCTCTATGCATAAAGAGAAACGGATTTCATTTTGAGTTACCAATATTAGTTATTGTGACTACTTGCGTAATTTAGTTGTAAATAGTTTATTACAATTTTTTAAATAAGTCATGATAATAACAGTCGTCGGTAACGTCGTTGAAAATTTTTTTAATTTAATTTATTATGTCGATCCTAAGCCCGTTATAAGAGTGAACAGAACATTGGAATCATGAATAGCGTCGTGTAGTTATTAACTTGAGCATTAGTAGTAAGCGTGGCATTAAGAAAGTTAACGGTAGGCAAAAACTTGAAATACGAAAACGTGAATTGAATCACACACACACAGGAGCGCGCGTATACGGGATACGCGTAGTTGTTGCCCATAAATCACATTCAATTTGAGATAACTTCAAATGAAAGTAGAAGCCTTTTTTGCTCGTATTTTCTAAAACTGTAATATCAGTATATGATTATTAATATATTTGAACTTAAATATATAATTTGGCTACTGTTTGAAAAATAACCCTGTATATTCTGGTAGAGTGGTAAAATTTATTTAAACTCACCTGACTTTTTTGTGTAACTGTCAGCGAAGGCAAGACACTGGATGCCCTCTTGGGAGATGTTTTCCAAGCTGGACATGCTGCTCGAGCGCGAACGTGAGAACGAGCTATCCAGCTTGTCTACGCGGCCCGTAGCCAACAGAACCAACAGATTATCCCTCCGCCGAGGAAAGAGGTAAGCTAAAGATCCGAGAGCACGAATGCTCGCGGATCTTTAGGCAGCTGTTATGATTCTGGCTGAGTATGGTTTAAGAAAAATGAATAACAGACACGTGAATTTATGTATACTCATAAGTTCTACAGTCAAATATATTTATAGAGAGCTGTTTTAACGGATGAGAGTTTTAACGAAGTTTTAAGTAGATATCAGAGATCTATTAAGTAACCAAATAAAAGTTTATGTTGTGATGGATCTCAACCAGTACCAGAACCAGCAACAATTGCATAGCTGCAAGCTTCAACTAGCCTAGTATCGTATGTGCGGTTGTGAAATTAGCTGAAATCATCCATTCGGTGCAGCGAGTAATATCTTAGTGCTCGATACATCCACAACAGATCACGAGTGAAGTCATGCTTGAAAAGTATCATCGGTTGCATGCCCATCCAATCTCAGCTTATTTACACAACTTATGCTATTGTTTTTGATTTACATTATTGTTTACAGTGCCTTGTAGTTTGGAATCACACACGAACAAAGAGTTATAAAAAGTAAATTAAGAGGAATGGTCAAAACATCTCAGTTACACAACATGTAGTTTATCGTAAGTTGAACACATATCCACAATTCTAAGATATGATAAGAACGAATGAACATGCTTAGCGTAAGTTTGAACTTAAAATGTTAATAGTAGCAAAAGAAACGTGAAAAGATGTTATGAGGATGAAGATGAACGACAGGCGCAAGCTGAGGCCCGTCTTTAGCCGGTGAAATTTCCCTTATAAAATTTTCTAGTTAGCGCAAACATTCCCGAGCATCTATTAGTCTACCACGAGCCCTTAACGTTACTTTTTACACCACATAGCTAAAACGAAGCAGTCGTATGGACGGACAAACAAGTTTTATGCAATAAAATATAATATCTATTAAAAATAGGAGCGGTGCAAAGGATTTTTTAGGCGCATGCGTCTAGTGGTTTGTTATTAAGTATGGTACCGGAAGCATACATAGACATAACGACAGCCGTATATAGAGGCAGCCAAAAACGAGCCATATAAACTTTTTGCTTTGTGGTCGAGCTAGAAAAAAAAATAACATCATGTACTTAAAAGTTTACATCATTAGTAAAACTGCTTAGCATTCGAACTATGTGTATGTATTATCTATGATTCGAACAATGTCTGAGCTAATTCGCGCTCGGATATGTCAAAGGTTCTATAATTAAAAATCTTTTTTTTTTGCAGATAAAGGCAAGCTAATATGTGACCGTTTGTGATTGTAAAATTTGAATTCCAGTAGAACGTAGAAAATAATTAAATAGAAAAATAAAGATCGCGTGTCTGATACAATATGGAAAGCCTCGCTGTTAAATGCACATAGAACATACAAAAGTCCGTTTATCGTAACACTGAAAAAGTGATAGATTATAAAATAAGATAGTTTTGAGTAGTAAGTCACCTTTTAACCTTAAATCTAGAGGTCATGCCGGAAGTCTTTTTAGAGTGCAGGTAATCACATAGTGCTGTGTAAAGGGAATAATACAAGACAGTCACAGCCACAATTTCGACACTAACGTATAAACAAACACCTACGGCAAGTGTACAGGGCCTGGGGCCCGTGAACAAGCCTCAAAAAGAACATTAATATAAAATAAAAAGGATTAAAGAAAAAAGTCGATGCAAATGTCTTTTGGATACCATTGGGTTGCATTATGTGTAAGTACTCCATAGATGCGAGAGTCTGCGGAATAGTTGGTTCTGTATCAACAAATAACAAACACATTTTACAAGCATATCCTGCGTACGTTAGCTGGAGAGGTCGAGGGTCGCAATCCAGTGCCAAGCTGTTGAATTAATTTTGATGAAACTAGAATAATAATTTTATTTAATAGTTATTCAAATCTAAATTCATTTTTTAACTTAATTCGCAGTGTTACAGATGAATAACTGCTTAACATAGCAAATGTATCACTTGCGGTTAAAAAGTAAAATAAAGTTAGATTTGTGTTTACGGACAAAGGTTGTCGTTGCTTTGACACTAGACGTCGAATCCTGAAATACATTGATCGGCAGACGCCAGTTCAGATTTTAGCTTTGACATCATACACCACACGGGAGAACATTCTAGAAGTCGTATATGAGGATACAACAAAGGATAGGTATATCTAAAACAACTAAGTGGGAAATAAATGAAATCAGGAGTGATAATCTGTAATGATTACCTATTAAATGATTCCGATCTGAAATTGGAAAATTATTAAATAAACATGTGAACTTAACGCATGCTAAACAAATTAAATGGGATCAAATGATACGTTGAAAATATGACGTTGCGTTGATCCTTTCATGTATTTCTGAGTCTTTTCTTTTATCCAAATTTAAACGTTATGAAGTTGAAGATAACACCACTCTTTACCATAAAATTGAGTGTTATTAAAAGAAAAATAGTTCTATCTTCAATTCCATAACAAGGCCATACGTTATAAGTAATGGAAAGAAGAGAAATGTTGAAGAATTAAATCAAACGAAACAGAATGTAACCAAATGAAAGAAAATCAAGAAGAAACATTTCGGCGAGTTCGCTTGTAGACAAGAGCAGACGTGCTTGAGCCAAAATGTACACGAACAGCGACAGTTTGATAGCGCAATGATGCGCATGCGTCAGATGCTACATCACTCTAGCGCACTTCAAGCGACCCGTCAGAAACAAACATAACGAAGGCATAAACGAAAGTAAAGAAAAAAACAATCAAAGAAAACAAACGAGAAATTGCGACTGTTTCAGAGCAGAAAAGAGGCAAGACTGAGTCTTCGAACAAGGTGACTGTACTACCAAAACTGCAATACTGTCGCGTCGTGAGCAGGGAATGTTGCGGGGCGGGGGGCGCGGCGTACACGTCGGAGGCGGTGGAGAGGCACTTGTGCAGTTTGCGGGTACCTTGCGAGCGCGAGCGGCGCACGCCCCGCGCCGCCCCCGCGCCGCCCCCACCTGCCCCGCCGGCGCCCGCCCCGCCGCCCCCGCCCACCGCGCCGCCCACCGCGCCGCCCACCGGCCCGCCCACAGCACCGCCCACCGCGCCGCCCCCGCTGCCAGCCGCGCCGCCCGGCCCGTTCATCTACAACACACACATACGTCCGACGCCGCCCTCCACCCCGCCCGCACCACCCCGAACCGTCCCCGCCCCTCAACAGGGCTACCCTCACACACTTCCTCGTTGGCAGCAAAATATCTAACGCACCGCTCCCTGTCTAATGTTCATATCGAAATGTCGTAATATCAATCATAGTACTACGTGTAATTTAACACAAAATGCAACAACTATTTATATCATAAAAATATTTATATTTACCCTATTCAAATCTGAAGGAGGATTGCTTGATATGAAATAAATCTATTACAACTTAGGAGATAGTTTTAGAAAGTACATCGAGTTTGTCCAATGAAGCCCAAAAGCCACCACCGATTGATATTTATTAACACAAAACAAACAATAGATAGACATTTAACGTCGAGGACCCCATTAGTTACGTTACGAACGCGGAAAGTAGGGTTAAAAAGTTGTGATCTCTGTGCCAGATATGTCAGGATTAGTAAGGCGTGGTCTGGACATCGGTTGTCCGACAGTTAACCTTTCAGTTAGTTAGTGTCACGTGAACCGTACTTTATGTTCATACCTATCCTGTTGGACACTTCAATTACTTCCTCGTTCGTTTGCTCCACATTGTTCTGTTCGTCCCTCGTGCAAAGCCTCGCTATAAAATCTCCTGGGAAAAGCGTATTGGTCAAAATCGTGGGGTATGTTTCCGGGTGAAACCTACGCTCGGTAAAGTATGATCTGTTGATGTGAAGCTATTAAGCGGGTAGTGCACAGCTATAGGGCTACGAGCTCGTATCATTAGCATTTAACATCATCTCAGTAACGGACACCAAAAACACAGAGATCTTTACTTTTACTTGATGCACAAAAATTACAATCAATTGTAGTGATTGAATTACCGAGGAAATCTGCGAATAGATATTTAAGGCAGTTAGAGTCCTCGTCGGATGAGTCCTTGTCCTTGGGAATAGAAAAAAAACAAATCAATCACCTAGCGTGCCTTGACGCTACACTTAAACGTGTTAAATTGTTACACACTGTGAAATTTTACATGTGAAACATAAACGCGTCTTATAAAATAACTTATGTTACATACTAACAAAAGTATAAAAAGCAAAATATCACAAAAAGCGAAAAGCAGATAGTAAAATCGTTATCAACATCATGAAAACTACGAATTAAAATCAAATATAGAAGTGTTTAGTTAAATTATTAGTATGATTTAAATCTTAAAACATTACTTAATAATAATTATATCTAGCTACATTTCACCTACGAGGCAAATTTTATATTTATAGTTAGTAATCAATTAAAACAAAAATATATATCGCCAAAACCATTCAAATCCAATTCCAGAGCAATTAAAACTACCTACTCTATATATTACAAAGGAACTAGTCGCTACAACCAAGGGCCCGGCTGGTGATTTGATGTGTGGGTGATATGGAACATGACCATCCAGGATGAGGCGGTACTTACTGAAGCGCCGCATGAGATTGCCGGCAAATGACGCCGGCGCCTGCTGGCTCGCCGAATGTCTCTTCCTTAGATCACGCATCGACTCTTGCTTATTATATTTTATGTTTGGAACCGACAGCAATCGTTGGTCTCTTTGATCTCTACTTTCATCTTTCTTTTTGTTTTTCCGTCGGGGAGGTCTTGTGGGTTTACCTTCTTCATCGAATAGTGGCAGGTTGTCGGGTCTTGTAACTTTTTCTTCTTCTAATTTGGAGGGTGAAAGATCAGGCGATGCCTCAATTTTATCTTTGTCCTGCCATCTTTCTTGCAGCTCTTTGTGCATTCTGTCATATACGTCAGTGGATCT